TTCTTGTGATGTCACTGCATTTTCATGTATATAAACTTGTTATTTCTCCTCACTGTTAACATTAAGCAGTGTGGTGATGTGTCATGCAGCTGAAATGAGCAGCATCTTCAGAGCAAGAGGTGAATCTTTTTCCAGTCCCATGGTTCAGTCTCCAGACACTTACTTGTCCTTGTCCTGTAAAAGGCCTGGTTCTGAAAATTCTTGACCACAAGAGTTCATACACTAGGTTCATTAGAGTTTGACCTTAGATACCCAGGTACTACCTCCTAGAGTAAATGACCCAGGGAAGAAGAAGATAGAGTTCAGGGAGGGCAGTGGTTTTTACCTCCCTTTCCTTCATGGCATATAATTACAAGTCACCTTTTCACACAGTTCCTTACTTGTTCATGAGTAATTTGGAGGCCTTTTGTATGAGCGGATCCTGGGACAGACTTTAAAGTCACTCCGTGACAAGTGGACAAGTGTCCATACGCACTCAGCTCAAATGTTCAGTCACCTGTTGTGACAAGGGTAGCTGAGAGTTTGGACACGCAAGCATTCCCTTGTGAAATTAGGGAAGTACAAAGGCATGCAGAAATTATATGCACAAATTTGAGGGTAGTGTGGGAAAATCTGGCCTCCGGTATCTTTTCGAATCATCCAGTAAAAAGGAGTCTATGATTTTTGGAGACTTTTTAGTGAAAGGCTAAATTTTATGAATCTCCAGTCTAAAGTCTGCTCATACAACTGATATGCTTTTTTTTTCTGCCTAAGAATTTCCCTTGCATACACAGCAGAAAAACAAACAAACACAATTCTCTGTTATTTCCCTGAAAACCAAAGTCCTCTTTCCTAGCAAGATTAACTTGTCGACTAATCTTAGAGCAAACACTTTATTTTAATCTATCATTGTTTTCTGACTGTGGGTTTAGCAGAGGTCAGAAAAAGAGATTCATTAAAGTGATTGCACATTTGTTTTTCCAAAAGCACATCAGAAGATTAATGCTTTGCCAAAGAAAATAAAGAAATACAGTATTTCTTTTAATACACTTCAGCTAAATAAAGTCTTATAATCACATGCGTTGGCCCAGATGGGGTGTTTGCAGCATAAGGTACAAGTCGTATAATTTCTACTATCTGAAAACTGCTTAAATGAGCTCTACTTCAGCCATCTATTCCACACCTGAGGTGAAGTAACTCTGGTCCCTTCTCTGATGTAGAGCCATCGGAGAGCTGACTGCCAGTGTGTTTTGCAAGTCTGTTTGCTTATATAAAGAACCTATTTGAGCTTCTCCACCCAAGAAATTCATGTTGATTTTGGATAATCCCTGGGTGATTTTCTTCTGTAAAACAAATAAATAAATCTTCCAAACCTGTGCCGCAGCCCAGCTCTCGCATATTTTGGGCTATTAGAAGTGTAGCATTTGTGTTAGGGAAACATGAACTGACACGAGGCATGGGCAATTTTATATTTGTCCAGAAGAAAAATAGGATGCATATTTCAATATAGGGTTACGTGTCGTTGGAGTTTCACCTAACAAGAGTACAGGGTCAGTCAGTGATGAGGAGAGTTCTGTGTGTGGATCACCAGACCCTATACCGCACGCTTATCCTCCAGTGTGGCTTCTCTAGGAGTAGTGCCAATGTGATTTGGTTTGGCAACAAACCAGTATTTCAGAAGAAAAGGAAAAGTTTTATTAAACAGCTGAAACAATTCTCTGGGGTCAACATTGGCTGTCAGGACTCGCTTTCAATATAAGAGAGGTTGTATGCGTGTGTAACATAGGCCAGTAGACGTGGGAATCTGAGCATCCTTGCTCTGAGGGGTGCTGAGCAGGGCTGCGGTGAGGACGCTTTGGCCCAGTGCAGTAGAACGGGTCTCTGTGAACATCATCAATCATAATAACCCATCCAATTAAAAATCGCTTCTGCAAGCTCTGCTCTCCCCTGCTCCCTTAAGGAAACACTAGTGCAGAGGCTTGAGTTGAGTATGCTCAAGTCCTAAACCTAAGTCGGGACAAATGCGAGGAGGAAGAAGCCCTTATTTTCACTCTACTCTTAATCCCCACCCATATCCTTCCTCAGGGTTCTTGCTTTGACAGCAAAACTGGTTCTGAATGGGCACATCTCTACTGAAATCAGTAATAGCTATGAATATGTTGCCCTGAATCTCTACGCTGCTATTTATTAGGTAACTAAATACTAAATTAGATATCTAATGTCTTAATAACTGAAATAATTAACTATATTTGTCTAACATAGTTATCTACCTTAACTTGGAAAATGTTGAGACTGGGCTAGACTGTCTTTGCTTTATTGTTTATTAACTGCATTGCAGCAATGTTCAGCATCTCTTGTAGCAGATATTGAATTCATGTCATGAAAAGCAGCCGTTAACCTCATGAGATTGAACAATACAAATAAAAATCTGTTTTGTTTCCTGCTTGGTTTCTTGGGTCTTGTGAACCATGAGAAGTTCTCTAGAAGATTTATACACATACTTTACCTCCTTTTCCCTTGCTCTAACTTGGAAATAAGCTGAAATTCTTGTAAAATCACTTATTTTCAAGAATTAAAGCTATGAATGGAACGTCAAACGTTAAAAGACATGCTGATACATCACTGGAGATGGCAATGCCTGAGTAAAACAGTGTGGAAATGCAGCAAATATTTACAAGAGAAAATTGTCCTGGTCAAGCCAACACACGTTAACATATGTATACTCAGCATAACATACTCTTTCACTTGTTGCTGTATCCGGTGGGCCATCATATTTCTAGTATTCTGTATGTGTGTTATATATACCCTTAATTAGACTTGCGATGTGGACAGCCTACTCCTGCATGAGGTTAAGGTGCTGTGTAAATAAATAAAAAGTAGGAAAGACAGCTTTTGCTAAAAATAGAAACTAAGCTTAAAAACAGTGTTTTGGCCTTAGGCTTTTATTTAGGGTTTCAGAAAACAAAACGAGCTTTTTGTTTTCCATTACTTGTAGAAAGCCTAATAGCCAAAATATTACTTCTCATCTAATTTTGCATTCCTTGAGTGTGTTTTAGTAATCCAGTTTTTCATTTAGCATAAACTACTATAAATTATGCTGGGATATGACCATTAGTAGTTTTATTAGAAATATTAGTTTAACTGAAGAACTTCTTTGTTGTGGCCTCTGTGGTAATAGTTTAAGCTTAGAAAAAAGGCATCAGAACACATGCTTTAGCAATTATTTTTCTTCAAAGGTTATGTTTCATACAGATGATCAAAAAGGCAATATAGTGCCAGCCCACTTAGGCTACCGATTAATACTATCACTGTCAACCCGCCAATACATTCACTACACTAGCATTAGTAATTTTTAGCATTTGAGGTTACTGACCGATTGCCATCAAATTTACCACATGCATATTAAAAAACCAGTCAGCCTTTATAATTTGATGAACTATGTTCACAGACAGAGGCAGAAAGGCTTCTGTTATCACTTTTCTTCAAGCAAGCACAAAACTAACTACATCTGAAATGGATCTATACTGCTAGCTAAATTTCCCTTACAGTAGTTTTTCAGTGCCTTTCAGTCTCTTTGCAGCGTCTCTGCCTGATGGATACTTTCTTCCACATCTATTTTTCACATAAGGAACTGGTGCAGAGGACATCAAAAGAAATCAAGTGGGAAGTTAAACACCTAATACTTGGTGGTTAGGGCTGGTTAGGGTTGTCTGTGTGCTACCTCTGTTAGCTGCTCCTGAATTGTTAGAGGTGGGTGGCTTTTGCCAGGAACCTGTGCGCTGTCTGTAGGACCATGGCTCAGTAATGAGCCAGTCCCCATCATGTGTCTGAACCTTGTTGCAAGGAGACTTGGCTTATTCCAGGCTAAAGCTGCATTGCAAGTCAACGTGTAAGGAATGTAAAAGATCAGGTGTTTAAACTGGAGTATGAAATTGAGCCCTGCGATAATAGCATGGATTTAAGAGATTAAGTGATACTAATACCAGTACATCTCTTTCAGATAAGCTATAGGCATACATTGCTTCATGCTTTCTGCCTCTTTTCTGTCATTCTTTTTTTCAGTATTTCTTCTTACAGTCTTTCCCTCGAGTAGTCCAGCTTAAATTGGAGTGGTGTATCCTTAATATAGCTTTTAGTTTAGTGGGTAGAGCACTTGTCTAGCAGATGAAAGAGCTGTGGCCCCCCTTAGATTGGGGAACTTGAGAGCCATGTCACCCACCTCATGAGCAAGAGTTAAAGATGCCCAAATTGCTGTAAATTGTTACAGGCACCAGACCATCCTTGTCTTGTTGACTGGCCAGGAAGCGAGTAGCAAAGTCCTCATCGTAAGTGATTGCCCAAGCTCCTTTAGGAGGTCACTGGCAAAACAGGAATGAAATTGCACAGTAACCTAGAACCATGAAGCTCTAACTTGATATTCCCTTTTGTAGCTGGATTGAGAATGATAATAGGTAGTTTATGTAAGTGCTAGTGCTCCATGTTGACACATAGGCATTTCGTATTTTTCCTCATTCCATGGGACTTTTTTGTGCATCTTTAAGACAGGAGATTTTGGATATCTGAAGGTTCTTAGTGCATAATAACCTATATGATAGTTTGTCTTGAGTGAAGGGACAGGGACTCTTGTTCCAGGCTAATATTGTTATTGTAGGTCCCGATCTCTCAATGTAAAGTTGGATTGATTTAAACTGATTCATTGCCTTGAGTTTGGTCTTGTACTGGATGAAGGGGAACACAATGCTAGACGATGTGCCATCAAGTTCCATGTGTTTCTGTATCCTTCCCTGGTTCCGCAGCTACACATAAGGCTTCACATCCTGTACATGTGATTCATCAGTCTATATTTACCAGTGGTGGTAACTTAAAATTAAATTTTTAAGTTTGGTTTCTGTTGTTTGGTTGGTTGGGTTTTTTTATTAAGAAGTTTATTTATTTCAGAGTTTTCCAAAGAAGTGAAAAAAAATGAGATACTTGAAATTTCTATTATTAAAACAAAGGACTTCTTTTCTTTTATGTTTCAGACACAGATATTAAGGAGCTAGAGGATGTTTTTGGACTTAACGGACAAGTAGAGCATAAGCTGAACTTCCTCAAAAAGAATGTATCAAAAGATATAAAGCTGGTACTGATTGCTCATTCTATTGGTTGCTACATCACACTGGAGATGATGAAGCGAGCATCAGAACTTCAGGTACATTAACCTTATAGAATGGGAGTTATATTATTAGCAAAGCAGTGCACATGTTTAACCTATGGGTAATGCCGTGTCTTTCCTGTGGAAGCTCTATTCTGCTATACGCAAACTTTCAACTAAAATGAAATAAAAACGTTAATGACTAATCCTAATAACATATAATAAAGTAGTTTGATGGAAAATAAAGTTCTTACTCTGAATTTGGACCTTTAAATGCCCTTGTAACATAAATTATTAATAATGGGGATACATATATTTAGGACTTTCTTGTTGTCTTCTCATCTTTAAATAATTTATAAACAGATCATAGATATTTGTCGATTACATTATGTTACTACACCAAAAATTAAGACTGGTTATGATTTTAATAGCAGCTTCTTATCTCAAGGCAAGCAGATTGCTGGCTATATATGGGGAAATGCATGGAAAAGAATAGTAATATAAATTGTGGTGAGTACTACAATGAAGGACGTTGTTTTTAAAATTTAATACATATGCATATATCATTGCTTCTGCAACTCAGTCTTGGTTTGGGTAACTCCATGAGAGTGGGAGGTGTTACTGCATGTTCTTGTGTATCTGAACATTTTTCTTTGTCGCTGTGAAGCAATAAGAAGGCTGAGGCAGGACTGTGTCCTTGCAGCTCTGGAAATGGCAAACTGTTGGTGCTCAGTAATAACTCACTCTACTAGCCGATGATAAATGAAGAATACTGAATTTTTATTCTTAAACATTCGCTCTTGCTAAATCATTGTCTCTTCCTTTACATTAGAAAATCTTCAGTGGAAGGAAGTGCAGTATTAGCGTAAAGTCTCTGTTTAATGTATGCATGAGTAGGTTTCCACTTCTTCATAACCATTTCCACTGCACATCAAACTTTTTTTTTTTCCTTTAAAGGAAACAGCAACTAAAAATGTGAAACATGAGATTAACCCAATATATTTCCACAGGCATGTTTCACTTTGTGATTATACAAGGGCATTTTTTTGAGAGAACTTTCATTACTGTTTTATCTTTTCAAGAGCGAGTGTTCTAGAAAATATCATATGCAGTAATTTGTCCAAAAATATCAACTTTTCTTTGGTCAACATCTATACAGTCTTTATTACACAAATTATTTTATCTGGTTTCAATTAAACTATGAATTGTTGAGTAATTTTTTTACACCTGGCTCACTGGTTACTGGCAGCATGCTACTCATCAATGTTTTGAAACGTAGGTATCTTTGGGACACTCTTAGACTGCATGTTGCACTGTGTGTATGAAGTTAATATATGACAAGCTACATTTAAGATGCATTTAACAATAGAAAATATTTGTGTAAGCCAGAATGTTGTGCAACCTTTGTCCCTTTGCCAAAAATAAGTTAACTGTTAGCTTTTGTAACATATGAAGTGTGATAATAAGAAACTTGTGTTTCCATGTCTCCCTTTATTTTTATTGGAATAATTGATTCCCACAAGATTTTGAGCACATATGTGTATTTTAGTAGCTAGATCATTTGATTTTATTTTTGTGTAGTTCTTATGTGATATTCATTTATTACATGAGTTTTGGTTTTCGTCTTAAATTCTCTGCTTTAAGAGCCTTTGATTGCTTACAGTTTATTATTCTGAGCTAGAGGTTAATGTGTTGTATTTAATTGTTCAAATAATTCAGTAAATGTTTATATTTGGAGCGTATGTTTAGCAGATTTGATTCGTGTTACCCAGTTTAAAGCCCTTTCATAATCTAACCAGATATAGACTAGATTGTCCCTCCCTTGTACAATGATGGGGGAACCTGATGAACTTAAGCTAGCATGCATGAAAAGGAGAAAGTGCTATCTCCTTATCTCTCCTTCTTGGTTGCTCTTCAGCTGTCGGTTTTGAATGCTGCTAATTTCTTGGGCCCTTGTACTCTGCAGGTTAATGGGGTACTGTGGGTTTTTTTCTTAAACTTCTGTGAAATATGCTTTCTTGTTTCATTAAAAGAGAAATGAAACAGGAATTGCCAGTTTACCCCAGGATAAATTCAGTTTTGAACCCCATCCCTATTTTCCTATTGACTCTCAGGGAGGCTTCTGTTAATGGTTTCTTCAGGAGACTCTTTAAAGGCTGATGCCTTTAACGAAGTCTAGTAGAGAAGGGCCACACAGGTTGCATCCATACTTGTAACTAAGTGGGGCTACTGCATGGATTTGAGTACTGGGCCAGCTATGCAGTGACGTTTTGGGCCTAGTCTCTAAGAGACTTTTTGGCCCAAAGTGGCCAGCAACTCCCAGGCAACACCCCGGCATGGTTCTGGGCTTGGCAGAGGCCCAGGACCATTCCCAGTAGTTAGTTTGGATGCAGACATCCTGGTTTTAGGCAAAGGGAAATTCAGCCATGTGGACACAGACCATCCCTATGCCGTCCTGTTCCGTGGCAGGACCAAGGAATAGTTCCTGGCCATTCTGTTTGCTGGCACACATGTAACTGTGACCGCTTCTCAGTTGTCACGGTGTGCATCAATCTTAACAAGATTCTCCTCTTCGTGGGAAGTGGAGCATCCAGAGTTTGTCAGACTGCTAAAAAATTTTGACACTGGGAAGGAAAAATGTTGGAGATGGAAAAATGCAATAATGTACAGCTTACTTGATACTTTGTCTTAACCTCATAATCTTCTTCGCTCTTCATTCAGCCAGCAGAACTGAAAGATGAAGCTGAGTGACAAAATTATTTTCTCAGTTGTTGGAGCTTGAACCTAAGTCATAAATATGCCGCATCCTCCAGCCATTCTCTTCTAAAATACAAATCCTTACTTGGAGGATTTCCTTGTGCTTTGCTGGCGACGCTACTGAGTCTTTCCTCAAACAGTCTGTTTGATCATTAATTTAATCAAAAGATTGACATTTTCCTTGCTAATGAAATTCAATCAGTTACAGCATTAGTCTTTCATTTGCAATGATGCTTTTGAAATGCCAGCACCTTTGTGGTAATAAATTAACACTTACTAATGAATGAAATCATCATAGAATGTAAGCATTGCTCTTCCTGTAAAACTCATTGAGGAGGAAGAGTTTAAAACTTCTGAGTATGTATCAGTTTAAGCAAATAAAATTTCTGTAACATATAATTCAAAACCATGCATTGCTACTATGTCTCAGTGGTGCCAAAGATTATTGGGTATTGCTAGAACTTATTGGATTTTACAAATAATAGCTAACAAAACATAAGTTGGAATAGTTGTGTATAAAACCTTGGAAATCCCGTCACATCATTTCTCTGCATACGTTCATGTGCATCTGCCTTATCTTTCTTTCACTGTGTTCTCTTCCAGACAGAAATCTGTTGGTCTGTACTTTCTTCCGAGAAAGCTGATGAGCATAACAAAGTAACATAGTTCGCGTTTAAAAATTCCACAAATTTATACAGTAGCATAACCATATTTTCATGTTTTTTCTTTTGTCTGTATATGAATTGCATTCAGGTCTTTCATCTGAGGAGCTACAACTTGTTCAGAATCTGGTAATGTATGTAGCATAGAAAGTTTCTGCAATGTGTCTTATTCTTCATAAATCAGTACTGACTTTCACCCATCAGGAGGCTGTCCGCTAACCAAGCTTTCTTGAGTTAAGCAAACATTTCTTCATTGCTGACTATTCTAAATTATTTTATGATGTATAAAATGTTGGTGCTATTCATTCCCTTTTACAAATAAATTAAACATGCCTAACAGGAGGTATCGGCTATTTTTTGTTAACCTTTTGAACTACTGAAATTGGCTATATATCCCTGCTGTTGGTTTTCTGTTTGTTTAGCCAGTTTCTAATCCATATAAAAATGTTTCTCTCACCCATTATTAGTATTATTAGTGGTCACAGGGATTGAGTGACCTCAGTGGGAAGCATTTTGTTGGAGCTTTTTGAATATAGTTATTTTAGATTATGCTCCTTTATGTGCATCTGTGGTAGTTCTATTTCTTTCTTCTTTTTAAAATTTTTCGAAGTATTTAGTTAAAAAAACAAAGGAGCTTTCATCTATAAAACATTATTGTTGTTACTTCTGATGTTAGAAAAAGCCAGAAATATATTTTATCATTCTTTTTTAAATTTAGCTGATAATAGATTAGTCTTTCTTTTCTGTCATTCCAAAGTTTCTGTTGTTGCATTGTTAGTAATGGGGTCTTTTATTATCCTTAGTGCTCACCTAAACCACACCTTTAGCGTGACATATGTAGTCCTCATTTTGTGGTTTCATACTTCAACCAAAAGGCCATGTTCCATCTGTTGTGAACAGCTTGCTTGGAAACATTGATGGCCTACAGGTACACAACAGAATGACAGATGTCACGACTGTTAGCTTTTTTTTTTCTATTTTCTAGAAATCTGCTTCTTCCCGATTACGTGCAGCCCTTTGCAACACATCTTAGTGGGAGAAGACATCTCTGCACATGGCCCTTCTGACAAAGACATTGATTGGGATATGAAATTTCAGAAACGCCCTTCTCTTTGCCAACTCTTGGCAAGGGAGGGTTTTTTTTTTTTTCAGCGTGTGTGAGAAATTACCTGTATATATAGAAGTAGTTTGTTTTAAAAGAAGCTTTACTAAAACAGTGAAAATGGCAATAGATAGTTTGCATTGCAGTGCATCTTTGTATGCAACATAAAATGCAATAGATAATTACTCACAGAAGAAATGGAATAAATCTCTCTTAACAATGTATGAATGTCTATCCATAAATACTGCTTTGCAGTAAGACGGAATATGAACTTTAAAGCAAATTAGCTATTCCTGAATAAGTCATGTGAAACATTCTGATTCTAAATCAAATGTCTTTTTCTGATATAGCTTAATCTATTTTCAAAGTAGCTTAAGATAATGGTTTTGAATGTATTCTAGATTCATTCTGGACAAGAGTGTTCACACATGAAGTTATTTAGGAATATTTCCATGTTTAGGTGTTCTTTACTCAGACTTTAATTTATCAACTGATGTTGGTCAACATCTGTTCTGTAAGTTATCAAAGCTTTTTCA